TCGCATCTTCGAAATACATCATATTCTCGGGCATGTTATTAATTGCACGACGAATTTTTGACTTGATTTTTAATATTTTGTCAACGAAGATTGTGATAAATGAAGATCGTTTACAAAATTTTTTAAGCTTTATTTTTTAATGTCTTAATTTAAAAAAAAACGCAGACAACGTCCAAATTTTCATATAACATAATTTTAAAATTTTCATGAATTTAAATTATGAATTTTTACTTTATGATAGCCTATTTCTGGTAATATATAATTAAACTGTAGTGTTATTAGAAAAATAATTGAAATTAAATTACACTTTATAAACGAGTTTTTAATATGTATAGTTTGAAGATAAACAATTCGTGCTAGATTTATACCTTTCTAGTATTAAGAGTAATTCTTAAATAAAAATAATTTAAAAGCTTTTATAGTAATTGTTTTTCCAGAACGGATATTAATATTAAGAGGAATAAAGCATCATAATTTAAGTAATGCATACGCCATTGCACATTGTATACACTGCACATTACTATATTTGCTTCTAAATATCAAAAACAATAACAAAACTTGCCAAATATGAAGTATTATTCTTATTAAAAACCTGTGAGAATTAAAATTTAAACTCACAAACCTATTGACAATATAAGTATAACTAAATGCCAAAATTTAAAAGGGTTTTAAAAGAGATATTATAATAAAATAGAATAATTTTAATATATTTTTGAAGTTTTTATTGATGATGTTTTTCGAGATAGTGCAGGTAACCACATCCCCACCATATACATCACTATAGTGAATTTACATACACGCATTACAAATTAATTCTGCATTTGGTTAACTTTATCGAGTTTATGGGGGCGGGAGGATGGGCGTGGAGCCACCCCTCTAAAACAACATTTTAATGTTGTTTTAGGTGTATTTTAATTTTAAAATTACTTGTATTATTTACGATAATCGCAAAATGAAATTTTATAGAATTTTTTTTAATAACAATTATTATTTATTTTAAATTATACCAAGTTAAACTTTCTGTTTATTAATTTATTAGATAAGAGAAATGTACCATTCGCCAAGTTGATTCGGAATTTTACAGTCTCTTGAATCACTAGATTTGATCTCATTATAAAGTATTTGGAGCATCCAAAAAGAAAATGATTTACAATATAGATACTCCCTTAGGCATTAATGAGTAATTGTCTCAATATTTACTTAATAAATAACTTAAAAGATTACTATCTTCTTAGTATTTTTATTAATATTTTTACATAACTATTCAATAGAATATCGTCCACTAGTGGCCGAGTTGATAAAAATCACTGAATGCTATTATGAACAATACCACGGACTGGCCATATGAAGTTTTCCGAGTTTACTTTACGTGCATAACAGCTAAATATGGGTCAGTTTTCCACAAAAAGACCTACCAAGAGGCATATCCTTAGTTATTATATTTTTTAAGAATGTTTCTTCTATTAAACAGAACTTTTAATAATTAAAATATATTAAAACTTTTACTAAGATTTAAATGTTATTCTTGCAGTTCTGACGGTAGTTCATCAATAAGTAGAATAAAAACTCCATCAATTATCTGTAAGTAAAAGTCTGTTGTGACTTGAGTGAATGAACTTTTGTCGTTAAGGAACTAATTTATCATATTAAAGTTTTGTTTTTTAGATTCGTTTTTGAACAGTTTTAATATTATTTTGTTCTTTTCATTTCAGTATTTTTAAAAATCTTTCGTGACCCAATAAAATCAATTAAATTGTATTAAAAATAAAAATTTTGCGTGTTTAAGAAGAATATAGGCCTATACTGTATAGTATATGTTTATAGAGCACGCTATGAAACATATAATGCGCTATTAACTTTCGTCAAAAAAAGATGAGGTTTTAGTAATTCTCTGTGCAATCGACTGATTGGTTCGTTAACACGAGACAACGCATTTTAGACTATATGATTGACCACAGTTACACCTATTATGGGTGGATGTATCTGCAATGAAATAAACCAACATACTGAATTGTAGGGAGTGATGTCCAATACGTAAAGCTTTAGATAAATTATAGAGATCTGGATCCTCGTGACAGTTGGCTAGCACGCCCGACAACATTCTTCTCCAGCATTCTGTAAACACTGCACAAAGTAAATAGAAGTACACACAAAGAATTATCAAAATTTAATATTACTTTTGCATATAAAAGATGCAAGAATATCAGTTTGAGTTCTAACGATCTGGATTCTTGACTACTGTTATGTTCCAAAGCTTATGTGTTGAACCTCTTCTTTATTATTTTATATATCGTGTTTTTGCAGTTATTCGTTTATTTAATCTTTCTGTATTCACATGTTACATATACGTAAATTTTTCTTTAGTCTCAATTTGAGTAGCCTATAGCGAAAATGAAATAAAGTTTGTTATTTTGTGCTATGATTTGCTTCTCGCGTCAAAGTCAGTTCTAGCAGTTATCATTATCGAAATCCATTATCAGGTCTTACAAGTTTATAAATAAAGATTCTAGATAAATGATTCTCAAGTGCAGCATTAACCAGCAGACAACTTTTAATAAAACTGTTCCAATGAAATTTGTTGCTTACAATGTATCAATTCATCAGTTTTACTGATGAGTGATACAATGGTGATAATCAGTAAAACTGTAATTAAGTATATGAATGATTGAATTCACAATTTAGAGACTTTTATGTTAATAAGTAAATTTAGTGTGTTATGCGAGAATAGTAGCGAAAAGTATAATGTATTATTTACTTGTAATCAAATAACATGGTTAACTTTTCTTATTAATATTCAGTGAATTGCATGAAAATGAATTAAGTACAATAGAACCTAATCATAAGTATTTAGTAGAAAAATTGCAAAACAAGTTTGGGCGTTGCTTCAGGCTTCATATTTATTTTTAAAAGACTTTTTACCAAGATTAAGTTCCGTAAATAAGCAACTACAAGTAAACTGACAAGTAAACAAGTTATTGATGCAATATCTAAAATATTTCAAATAATCTTCTATGTCAAGCGGAAAATGATAATTTTTCGTATTTTTCATCTTTTGAAAAGTACGATATCTAACATAACATTTCATAACATTGTTTGAAATCTTTAGGTTAAATACTGACTAAATGCAACATTTAAGAACTTGATTTCTTTAGTCTTGATTTTTTTCTTTCTTGTACCATCTCCTTTTCCTCAATAAATACATGTGAAAGCTTTAAATTATTACATAACAGACTATCTTCATTTTTTGTTATTTCTATACTTTGACAGGACAAATGTAAAATTTTCATTCGTGGAAATTCATCAATGGAAAACTATATATATGTAGAACAAACTATGTTGATACCCTAGAAAATATACCATGGGAATATCATTTTAGGAATTTCATTATCACTATATGATATTCATACAAATTCCACGTAGATATCATTATTATTGGTAACTTAATAATAATAAATGTAACAACGAGAGTTACAATAAATGTAACTTTCCCGGCAACATTTGGTGACGCCATCTGTTATCATATTTTATTTAAAAATTTCTTTTTATCTTTAACTATTATAAAATGGCAAAAAGCTCAATTTTGAGGTAGGGATGGGTTTTATAAAAAAATTGTAAATGCTAACGATCACTTATTTATTGTGCCATCGTCACAATGTCGGGCTGCAATTTTTAATCATATTTTTAAAATTCATTTAATTTAAAATGTCATCCATCTCAAATTAGTACTGTTTTGCCCCTGTACATCATACTTTTCCTGTTAGCAATAGTCTTGCCGATCACCTATCTAAGCCCTTTCAGGGAAAATTTTTGAATTGAAATAACGAGATTTCCGGTTTGCATCGAAAGTTCATATATAGTTAAATATGGAAACCTTGGGCCTCCTGCCAGTAAAGTTTCATATCTGGCCTCTTCTTTCATCTATATAACTCCAATCTCGAGATTAAGGAAAGACGGACAAACGACAGTGGGAATTTATAGTTCTACAATTTTTTTTCAAATTACAGCCCAATAACGAGTAAAATCGTCATTAAGTCCGACCCTACTGGAGATACAAACGACCCTTTTTATCTTCCCACCTCTCGACTTTTAATCATAAAAATTTAATAGCATCAATACCCTAATAAAGATACCTCCCTGCAAAATTTCAGAAATTTTCGACAAGCACGGGAATTATGTATTGAACTTGGTAAACAAAATCGTGGTGGAAAGATGGTGAACAAAATCGTGTCCCCCACACACATCCATACAGAAAAAAACCCCGATTCTTTTTGATTTTCTGGATGTTTCAAGGTTTCCAGTCCAGAAATGTAAAAATCTTTTTTGACTGATCACTATACTTTCTGTTATATATAACAGCCGGGGCAGTAAAAACTGTATTTCAATGATATTTAACTAAACTATACATATTTTGGCCTAATCCTAATTTGGTTGAGTTCTATTGGAAATTTGTAATTTTTGTTTGTGGGTGGTTGCCCATAAAAAACAATTTTATTCTTAAAATTATTTTCATTTCTTATTGCTTGTAATTTTAGTTATTTTATATTCACTTTATTTATTTCTGTACACAATTTATATTAGATTCTACTGAAAACTTTTTATGCTTTTTATTGATTTTTCGGTGTTTGCTTTTCATAGCATTTAAATGGCATTTATTAATAGGTGATACAATAATGAAACAAAACAGACTGAATTAGTGAAATATTACATCCACAATTTTATTTTTAACAAATTATTAATATTTACAAATTTCTTGCAGATATTATTTTTCAAGCAGAAATGTTCAATTCTTATAAAATCTTGGTAAATAGATTTTTATACTTCTGTAACTCCTTTATATAAAGTTTGAAAAATTCTTATACTATTTATTATAATTACATAATTTCTTATTCACATATTTGATATAAACAATAAAATTCTTTATCACTTTAAACTTCAAAATATAAAAATCTTAATACAAAAATATGTTTTGATATTCATAATTCAATAAAAATCAACAAAATTATAACAGCAACTTTAACTTTGATATAAAAATATATTTCACATACAGCTTTAGAAATTCACTATTTATAAAAATTTATTTTCTTTAAATTCTTTTAAAATTTCTTCTTCTTCTTCTTTGGATATTGGAAGAATAGGCAATCTGGTTGAACCACCATAATAACCAAACCACTCCATTGCAGCTTTCAAACCAGCTACACCATATTTTTTAGTAACCTAAAATAATATTAAATTAACAAAATAAAACAGTAAGAAAAACAAGAAATGGAATTGCAGTTTTAAACCTGTTCTGAAAGTAATGCTAATAACTGCAAAACTATTTCAAACTTTCAAAGATCTGTTTAACAATAAAATATAACAGCAAAACATTCAGCAAAATTTGTTTTTTTAATTACTGAAATTATTTGTCAGACATTTTATGCTTTAAAATGTTACCATTAAAGTTTTAAAAAATTTTTACTTTAATTCTGGATAAAGTTAATTAGTAATAAAAAAAAATAAATTAGCATCTTTAAATTTCCAAAATAATTTTAATTTAATGTAAACTAATATTTTCAATCATTCTTTAAAGCTTTCTTCAAATAAATTCATGGTAAAAATGCTGTTCGTATTGAGTTTACTGAAGAAGGCCATTAAAAGATGATCAAAAACATTAGTTTTTATTAAATTAAAAGAGATTTTGCGAAAAATTTAAAGATGCTAATTTATTCTGAACAATGCATTCCAGTTGCTTTTATGCATATAAAAGATAAATTATTATTTTTATCAGCAAAAATTAAGATTAAATTATTTAAAAAATTACTTCTACAATAAATTTTCAAACATTATATCTTTAATTACATTCTAAATATATTTATTTATAAATCCAAAGATACAATAAAAATTCCAGTAACTCTAAAACAGAAACTTAAGTAGAAACTTACATTCAGAACTTCAGTGGAAACTTAAGTTCCAGAAATCATTAAGCCATTATTTTATAGTTACGGATAAGTTTTAACATGACACCAATACCTTGGGTACTTAGATTTGAGAGTGAAACCAAAGTTAACTCATGAATAGAAGTATACTAATGGTGAGCCCACTTTCTTGAAAAAATGCCAAAAATTGTTGCATAATAAATTACCATAATAATAATATAATGAATAAAATCATGAGTTTTCATATTTTTATTAGTAATGAAAAACACAAAGAAAATGAATTAATGTGAAAAGAATTAAAGATAGTTCATAGTGATTGCCCACAAAATATACATATTTGTGTAAAGAACATTATTTCAGGTAATTTAAGACATAATAATTATTATTAAACATCATCACAAATGTTGACATCATTTTTCTATATATTTGTTTGTAAAGATTTACTTCCACATTAATTTCTATCAAATGACAGAAATTAATGTAGAAGTAAATCCTTCCTGATTCTATTATAAATATTTTCTTTATTACTAGAATTGTCTCTACTCATCTTAAAAATCACTGACAAAATATTTGACTCAAAATACTGTATATGCCAATGAATTTGAATTATAGTCAATTATATAATAGGTCGCAAAAAAAGATTTTATACATTACTTTCCCTGGAATTATATATGTCTTACTGTATTTCTTATTTTGTATATATCTAACATTTTAATAAGCTAAACTGTTACTTTGAAACTCTTTCCTTAATGTGAGAACCGAGGGGGTATAGCTACGAGCTTCTTCCCGCTTACCAGCGGCTTGGTCAGAGAATGGTTATATAGGAGGACAAAAATGTGAGTGGGGAATGAAATGGGTAAGTCGACAGGTTGCCGATTGCACACCAGAAGGTTACCAATTGTACTCAAGGATGACACAGTATTAAATATAAAATAACACATTTAATTAACTAATTAACTAAACCTATACATACGCATACAAAGCGAAATGCTACAAAAAGGGATTACTCAAAATTATTCTATATAGTGACAAGGAATATATGCTTGTCGCTTAACCGTCTAAGTTCTAGCTCTATAAAACATAGTATTCTACTAAATTCAACTAGCCTAAAGTAATCTATAATCGAGAGAAAGACAAGGAACGAAAGAGCAAGGATCAAATTTAGATCAAATACCTCTCATGGTCCTGATCTCATTGTATGGGTGTTGCTTACAAACTGTCCCCAGATCGGTTGACTCTACTTGTAGTCTCTCTTCTTTTCGAATCTGGCACATTGAGAAATGGATGGCGATTATGGCAGGAAGGCAAGGGTTGCGACAGACGGAATGGCAGTATGGGTCTGGTGTCACCTGATGTCGGCTGGTGATATTTGCCTGATGCTATCAGCTGTGGACATCCACACTTGAAGGGGGATGTCCACAGCTGATAGCATCAGGTTCAAGTGCAACCCCTTTTTATTCCCATTCTGAGGAGGGAAGTTCGGAGTACATTCTGATGCAATCCCATGTAAGTTCGACTGGACGGGGAAGGTTTCGATTTCTGTCAATTAGTATAACCATTTCGGTAGAATTATTACTTTTGCTATCCCATCTTGTTACTTTTTCTAACTCATAAATTTGATAACAGTTGTCAAACTGATGGAATTAATTGCTGGAGGTGACTAAGGTTAGGATATGTATTGCAACCTTAGTAATGATTGTTCGTTTGGTGGGTTATCCGATCGGTTTTATCATCGTTAAAATCAGACAAAGTAAGAAGTGTGTGGGTTGTATTTTTTTTTTTCTGCCATCTCCGGAAGGGTTAAAAGGTCACTCCTTGAAGTGACTGAAAATTGAAAAAAACAACAATGAGAAAATTTTATGGAAGCTCAAGAATTCACACTAGAGCTCGAATTCTCACATTAAACAGAAATTGTTTTGATAAAACTCTTATTTTTACAGATAGGTCAAAAATTAATTTTAATGGTATGCACATTTTTATTGGTCAATTTTAAAAGTTATTGTCTTTTGTTATTTTATTTATTTACAAACATGTATACAACCCATGCATCATATACATATAGCACAGGTATCATTTTACAACATTACATAATCAATATATTTAAATATAGCACATACAAGATATATAATTAGATTAAATGCAAATTAAAGTGAGACATAAAAGTGAAATATAAAAACACATGATTTGTTCTAAAATCAACCAATAGTAATTTCAACTGATTCAGATATTCAACATTACTTTAGGTAATGTTGAATATCATTATACATTATACTGCAATAAATAAATTTTTTTTTTTTTTTCATATTTTTTAGACTTAGGCATGTTGTAGTATTCCAAATATTTATTATAAATTACAGCAATATCGTCAGATTGTTTTTTATATCATTTTCACTATGTATTACAGCAAAGTTAAGACAACTGAAAAGCAAATGTGTGTCAGTTTGTAAGCTTTCTTGACAAACTGACACACTAGATTATCATTAGTATTAAATCTAAGATGATATTCTAAAATGGCACCATATCCTGAAAGAACTGTATGGATACAAAATCCTCACTAAACATTGTACATTATTATCCATTCATGTATATATATTATATATATATTATATATATATATATATTCCTGATATATATATCAGGAATTTCTTTGTATTCCTTCCCTTAGAACTTCTAATGTATTCTGTATTTCATACACAGTTTTCTTTCTTATAAGATCTTTAATGTAGTTCAGATAAGCTTTGTTATATTCAAGCAATTTTGTTGTTATTTCTTTAGATAATGTGTCAGTTATTTCATTTCCAATTATTCCAGAATGCCCCTTAACCCAGGAGAATATTACTTTAATACCTTTACTATTCAATTCCATAAGTTGTAGTATCATCTTATAAACCATTGCATTTCTTTTTATATTAACTATAATTTGTATTACTGACTGGTCATCACAACATACAGATACAGTATTAAAAAACATAATATCAAGTGTTAAACAGTGTAAAAATCTCCCAATAGCATGCAATTCTGTCTGAAATGTAGAACAACAATAACTTAACCCATAACTAGAACTCTGTATTAAAACATTATTATAAAATACTGCAAAACCAGCTCCAACACCAGTCAGAGTTTTACTACCATTAGTACAACAAATCAGCTCTGAATTATTGATATTTTAAAATCTACCATATGAATTAGTTCCAATGATGGATGAAAGTGATAAAGGATGGATTATGTTTTGTTAAATACTTAGGAAACCAAATGCTGACTGAAATTATCCTGTTTTTATTGTCATCAATATTTTTTGCATTTATCTGAAAGTAAGGACAAGAGACAAAAGCAAATAACAGGCATAAAAACTACATTACAAAGCTGATTGAAAGTAATTGTAGACATCAAGATGCTTTCCCATTGCTTACTGCTTCCTGTGAATATGCAAATGAATAATTTGTTAAATAATTATAAGTATCTGACCAGTCTATCTTAGGTCACATAATAGATTGGAAAACATTAATTAAATTAGATTAAATTACAGATTTTAAGTTTTTTAATATATATTTTTTTATATTCATCAATAATTTATCAATATAATTGCACATTGTAAATGGAAATAAAATCTAATCTAACTTTGTCACTCTTTCAAGGAAATGTACTCACTGCTAATATATTTCTATTCATGAGTCTGCTTTGCTTACATCCTTCCCTCCAGGTATTGTAAGTCCCATCATTAAAGCCATTCTTATCAAGACTACATTTAATTAGATTATATTATGAAACTTTACACTAAAAGCAAGCAGTATCACTTGTAATAAATTTAATTATTACAACTAATGTAAATTAATAAATAATTCAGAAATTTTGGAAATGTTGAATTCTTTGGAATTATCCAAAAAACTCAAATTTAATACAGTGGTGCCTCGTATTAAATTTGAGTTTCAGGTGCTTCTTAATCCGTTCCAGGTGCATGTCTGTTAAGTGAAAAGTCCATTATACAAAACGCATTTTCCCATAGAAATACATGTTAAAAGATATAATTTGTTCCGCAGCATAAAATAACCGAACTGTACCATAAAAAATGAAAATGGAGCAGTGACCAATTATGCTGGATAGTCAGATGTTGTGAGGAGGAGGTGTAGGAACACTTTCTTCACACATTCATACAGATACAGACTTTTTACACATTGCAGCAGGTCTCTTTTTATTGTTTTTTAATCAGAGTCAGATTCAGGAGAGGCTAACGGAGCTTGCAGGATCAACTCTTCTTGTTCCATCCTTTTTTTTGCCTGCTGGCTTCTTAAAAAACATGTCCAAGGTGGTTTGTTTCTCTCTCTTCTTTAACACCTGTTGGAAATGACAGGCAAGGGTGTCATTGAAGAGATCATTGATCCTATTGGCCTCAGCTTTGTTTGGGTAATGAGTGTTGGTAAACTCCTGAACCTCTCCCCATTTGACAAGGAAGTTTTTGTCAACTTTCACTCCTTCTTATGATTTCTTGCTTTGTTTCAATTGAAATCACCTTTCTGTTTTTTTAGAAGCCATGATTTGCACAACACCCAAATAAATGTAAATACCCTGCACTCAGGTGATGTACGTAATAAACAAGGGAGCAAGTCGAATCCCAACGAAAGCTCTGTACTTCAAATATACTAATAATATATTGTAATAATACTAATATATTATAAAAATAGCAGACATTATCATTGGCAATGGCAAAGGAGTGGAAACATCATTCGCACTTGTTCGCAGAAAGTCCATTGTTCACCTCATGTAACGGCCAAACAGAAAGTCCGTTGTTCGCAGCATACGTTATACGAGGCACCACTGTACTGGTTATCTGATTGGTTGTTTTATTATATGAACATAATTTATCATATAAATCTTGATGTTTAAATATATTTTATCTTTCTCTAACAAAAAACTTTCCCATTTTTAATTTTTTCCTTACTTCTAATTAAAAACATGCAAATTAAACAGAAAATATTGTTATCATAAATGTGCGTGCAGTTCTGATAATGAAAGTATGATTCACTTCTAAATACTGTTAAGAACTTATATTTTCAAAAGTACATTAACTATACACATGACCAAATTCAATTTATACAGAAAGCAGGAACAATAAAATATCAAAACATTATTAACTAAATAAATACAATTGAAATATAATATTAATATTATATAAGTTAATATAAGTTATTTATTTAACATAACATTAGAACTAAATTGATACTGGTACTAAGACTAAGAATCATTCAACAATTTGTCAAAATACTTTATTAACATTAATTAATTATATTAAACTTGATATCTTCTCATAGATCTATTGCATAAATAAAAAATAAAAAAAAAAAAAAACATTAAAATCCAACAAGAAAATTTTATATGTTTTACATATGTTTTGTCTTCTTTAAATTCAAAAGATAAAAACTTTCTTGCAGCTTTTAGAAGTTTTTGGAACTTCTTTAAACAGATTAATTAAATAAAGTTGATTAAGTGAAAATTTTGATAACAATGACTCACACATTGATAACTTATTTTTTTTCTTTAACATTTCTACTTGTTTATTCTATATGTATCCAAGTAAAAAAACAAAAAAAAAAAAAATCTTCCAGTTGTTGCACATTCAAAAACTAATTCTAGAAATGTCAGTGCATTCTATCAAACTTACATCTTAACTGCTGGAATCTGACAGCATATAGATTTCCATTAAATATGAAAATTTGGATTATTATTTCTACTATATTATTTTTTGAAAATTTTCATCAACAGATCATCAGACTAATCATCTGATTTATATTCAATAAATTTTGTTTTTTAACATTTTTGGGATAAGATCGTGTATGTGGGTTCCCAGATGAGGTTCGTACTCGAGTAAACTGAAATTCTTGCGTGACACAAGATGTAAACAACGAGACTCTGAACTGTTCGAGTATGTGTCAAACTATCTGTCAAGGTCTTAGCGGAAGATAAACTCTAATACGAGTGCTCATAAATAGGTAGATCATTGACTTGCGAGTCTATAAAATATTGGCTGAGATAAAACTTTCGAACAAAAAAAAAAAGGGGAAATTTTTGATAGATGAAAGATGAAAATGATCGTTAAATTCTTAGACGTCAAAAACTGGTAAACAACGGCCTGAGTTATGAGTGCAGGTGTTATTGTTTTATAAACAGTCATCAAGCAGAGTCGACAAAGAGGTATCAGATGGACACCTCGAATCGGACCTTTCCCACAACCCGAAAATATTTTGTCTTGCACCTGGAGACAAAGGAGAGACCAATAGGGAAGCGAGGAATGAGACGAGGGACCAATCCGAAATGCAAATAGCGAGGGAAAAACAATAAAAATCAGAACTTTAAGGTCGAAAAGAGAGTCTCCTCTGGATTAAGCCTACAGTTATGCTTTATCTATTGTGTTGTGCTACCGCCGATCACCTAGGACACTGCAGCTTAACACCGAACATCTGCATCGTCCAGTGATCCTTCTCATCCACCCAGACTATGACTGATCACCCGAACTCTCACCATTTCATAGGAACACCAAGATTTTGGAATTGTCCAATATCAATATAAGCATGAATTCAAACAAATAAATGGGTTTTCTCTTGTAAAACACTTGTTCTTCATTTGCCTCCTTCGCCACCACCCACATACTCGGTTTCCCTTAGGCTCAATTCTGACACAGGATAAACTGTACCCCCCTTTAAGTCAGCAAAACTTACATGTATAAATGCGATTCCTGCCTTTCTATTTTTAAACTTGTAATGGTCGCCGTCGCGAAAAGACAGTTAAGGAAGCGACCATGGGATTTTGAATGCGTGATTGCTGATTGGTTGAAGATCACACCACTCTACATATTTGTGTAGTGCTACAACTGGTAACTGTTGATTGGGCAACAGGGAAACATGCCATACGATATATTTGCATAGTGCTATGGCTTGGTAAGCACTGACTGATCATCTAGCCTGCTGTCGAAGGCTATAAAAAGGTTAATGTCAAAGCAGGAGATTTAAGTTCGGCTTAGGACTTCACGTCGGAAGCAAGTTCACTTCAACATGAGAACTTCAGGAAGTTCGCTTCAGAAGTTTAGGGTATACATCAGTTTCGTCTAAGTTCAGTTTGGAACTTCAAGTGTGCCTCAAAGTTCGAGTCAAGTCTGGATTCTCTCGCTGTCTGTTCTTTAACCACCAGAAGAAGGATACTTCTAGCCAACAACTCATTGATTTGTCGTAAGGTGTCTTCTTGATGGACTAATTCAACATATTAAACTATCTGAACTTTGTTAATGTAATTGGTGCAATGACTTGGTCACCAATTGTGTGAACTACGAACATTGTAAACTTCACTAACATTTAAATTAAACTGTACTTACATATATGTTTGGAGAAATCAGTCGAAGTTGAAGACTCTGTGCTTCTTGTAATTTTCCTTCTAAAAATAGTTTGTGTAAATTGCATAATGGTTCACCTAAAGGATTGGCCAAAGCAAATATACCACCTACACATCCTGATAACAAAAAAGAAAAAAACTGATATTAGGATACTGAAACAGAATTATTAAATATTATGCAGTGCTTTATCATTTGTAAGAGTTTCAAAATTATAGTTTGTTTCTGATGGAAAGATATCACATTTTACAGAAACATATATTATAAACATAAGAATATCATAATAATTTGAAATCACAGATATCATCTCAAATTTAATCCAAATCAATCTAGAATTTAACTAGTACAATAGAACCCAATTATCCAAGGTAATTTGGACAATGCTACCTCAGATAACTGAAAACTCAGATAAAATAAACAGTCATGGCACTTTGGATTTAAAATTACAAATGTAAAAGACTTATAAGCATCTTAAATACTTTAAGCCTCTTTTTATAACTTAATGAATTTAATTATATGTAAGAACAATGTTTTTTACATCATTTATTATAAGTTAATACATACTGTACAATAAAAAATGTGTATTATTGTAGTTACATATTAATAAGAATGGTTTGTCTCACATAAAAGGTAACAAAAACATAAACATAAGCCCAACAGTTATATTAAAGCCAAATGAATGCAGGATTTGGGCTATATTACTACTATTAATTAATAACTAAGTACTGAGTAATTTGGCACTAGAAGTAGGCATTGAGTGCCATCTTTTATTAAATTTAATAATTATAATTAAATTAAAATTTATTAAATAATTTAGAAAATTCTGAAAGAAAAAATTTGGTTTGGAGTGGGACTTGAACCCGCAACTGCCACTTACCATGCAAACACATTGCCTGTGTGGTAATACCTAATTAGTATGGTTGTATCTAAATTAAATATGTCTGGAAGGAAAAGATCAAATGGAAGTCTGAGTAGCATAACTGGCAACAGTAAGTAACAGTTGAAAGTTTGAGTCTGGCTCTAGCCAATTCTTTTCTTCAAAAATTTTCTAAATTATTTAATAAATAAATAATTTAATTATAATTATTGAATTTAATAAGAGATGTACCTAACACTACTTGTAGTGCCAAATTATTCAGTATTTAATTATTAATAGTAGCAGTAATAGAGCCCAATTTAATCCAGCATTTGTTTGACTTTAAGGTAAGAAAAACATTAAATAATCATTTTGTAATACTTGTTATTGTTTTAAATTTTCTTTAAAACGTCTTTTAGAGTTTCTTGTTTCACAGCAATTCCTCCCTCCTTTGCAGCAATGCTCTACTGTCAGCTCAACATCAGCTATTTGCTTGGTACAGTTAAGGTTAAAAGTACTTCAGTATTTACATGCTTAGTGCATTTAAGACAAAGATTATCTGACTTACAGTATAAAAAACATCCAGTAATGAGTTGTGTAACTCTCCTGGATGTTATGAGAATTTAATGAAATAAAATTGTGTGGTACCATCTGTTATGAAATTTTGTTTAATAATATAAAAAATTTTTAATTATTATAAAATGGCAAAAATATTAATTTTAGGGCAGTGATGAGTTTTATAGAAAGTTGTAGAGACTAATAACAAGCAAAATCTTCATTAAGTCAACCCTTTTCAAGATATGACATGTGACCACCCACTATTTTCCCATCCCATCAACCTTTAACCACCAAAATTTGATAGCATCAACACCCCCTTATACAAAAGCTACTGTGCCAAATTTTGTTTCTTAATCTTCATTTAATATCTCAGGATGGGGTGAAAGATGTCAACACACCAACATGGAATCTTTTTCCTCTATTATTTTCCAGCTGTTGTGTGTACATAACAAGGGAAAGTATTGGTTTGTATAAGAAATTGTGACAAATTTGACCCTCAGATTTTTGCAAATTTCTAAATTTTGAGTTTCCAGCAAAAAAAGTTTCCAGATATGTGTGTTCATGTGTATTTTCATCTATTTTGCTTAATATCTCAGGATAAGGCAATGACAAAGAAATTTGGCATGATAACTTGTGTATAAAGCAGTGTGATCACTCATATCTTGAGAGAGGTCAGACTTAATAAAACATTTACAATTTTTTATGAAATTCATCACTACCATCAAAATTAAGCCTGGAAAACATAACAGCTGGGAAATTAGGCAACTCATTGGTGACTTTTTTCTTTGACTTTTTTGGGTTCAGGGGGTCTCAAAACACAAATTTTCAAAAATCCCAGAAGTCAAATTTGACACAATTCCAATACATAACAAGGAAAAGTAAAAATAGTGTATTCACTTACAAGTTTCTCTCAATAATGTGGAACCTTGGTTAAGCTTCGATAATCAAGTATTTCAAGTTTCTAATGTTTTCAAAATTTATTAAATTCTTGTTTTTAAACAAAATATGCAAAAATACATAAACAAGCAATTATTTATTGTAACATTGGCAGAATGCCAGGCTGCAATTTTGAATCAATTTTTTAAATTTATTGAATTTAAAATATATCATTCCATCTCAAATTGCCAGTGTCTTGCCCCTGTACATCATACTTTTCCTGTAAGCAACAGAATCATGCTGGTCGTCTAACTCCTTTCAGGAAAAATTTTTGAATTAAAATAACAACTTCCAGTTTGCACCAGAAATTCATATATAGTTAATTGGGGCCTCCTGCCTCTAATCTTTCCATATCTGGTCTTGGCTTTCATCTATCTTGGCGATTCTTAACCACTGTGCTGAGGCACACTAAAGTGCCGCATGATTTTTGAAGTGTGCCGCCACTGCGAATATCCATACATAACCAACATCAGACAAGTATTGATAGTTTAATTGGTTCTACCTAACCTAGAGCGCATTTGGAAATTGTAACCAGTGTTATCAGTAACTGTTGGTTGCTACTAAGATGTTCAGAAAATGTGACCTAAATAACCAACTGTGTTTAAAAAATCACTGTTATGATGTCACCAGCTGTCCTGTGGTACTTACCGAAGTAACTGTGTATGCTGCCAAATTTTTAAATTATTAAAAGTGTACCATGACGAAAAAAAGGTTGAGAATCACTGATCTATCTAACTCCATTCTCGAGATTAAGGAAGGACAGACAATGGGACTTTATAGATCTAAAATTTTTTCAAATTGCAGCCTAACAACTTTATTAATCTACAAAAAAACAATACTAGCATTATAAATACATAAATCATTAAAAGTTACCAATAGTAAGAGCTGGAAGGAAAAATCCAGCTGATCCTGCAAGAACTTGAAAATTATGCTCTTTAGTTTTATGTACTATATATCCTAACTTTGAAACCTAAAAATTTTCAGAAAATAATAGTTAATAAAATTAATATTTCAAGTGTATAACAAAAAATAAAATAAAATAATCAGTATATTTACTATATTAAAAATTTGTTATTAAATTACTTATAAATTTAAATTTAGTAAATATAATATAAATTTAATTCTACGTCATAATTCTGAAAACAAATAGAAGGCTTTTAGTGTCATATACTATTAAAAATCATTAGTGCTTTTGATTTGTTATATGCATTGATTTAAAAAATTTTTTTAATATAACATTTTATCTTTATTAATTAATTTTATATTCAGGTAAAATTAAATAATACAAAATGAAAATCATACATCACCACCACTATCTTTTAATCCAATTATATTAGGATGTGAAGACAATTTAATTATAACACTAGCTGATAAATCAAGTGAAGTATTAGGAGGTACACTGTATAAAATTATTGGAATAGGACTTTTATCTGCAACCTAAAAATGAAAAAATTTTAAATGAAATAACATATAAAAAGATGAGGAAAAATATAATAAAAATTTACATTGCATCATGTAATTAAATCTTCCTTTCCATATCTAAAATTTATAATTATATAAGTGTACTAAGTGTCTGCAGAACCACTTTCAATTCAATCTTGAATTATGTCATTTTGAGACATTTCCTTTCTTCATGTTGCATTTTATAACAACTTTTTATATGAATAANAGAATATTTTTAGTTATAAATAAACAAATTTGTGCATTCCACATCATGTTGTAAATTTCCGAATTTTTGATGGTCCACCCATTATTTTTTTGATTGCTTCATCTCATGCATTTAAATTTTAAATCGACCGATTTTAGATTGCCACGTGTACCCCTTCATGCAATTTCTAAAGCAATGGTTCCCAATTAGTGGTACACGTACCCCTGGGGTTACACATACCACTAATTGGGAGCCATTGCTTTAGAGGAATAAATAAAAAGTAAGTACAGCCCTTTAAAACAATGGTGAATCTCATTTCCATTACTGAGTGGAGTTAGTAGGAATATTTATTATATCTTATAATATTCATACAAATTTTATTAATATGTTTTTATTTTAATTTTTATTAAATTAATTTTTTGTAGATTTTAATCTGTATTCACTATAATTATTTTAAAATATGCATATTTGCATAATTGTTAATATAAGTAAATACATAAACAAAAAATCAGTTTATTCAATATAGTTCTGATTATATAGTTTGGGAAAATAGTAAAAAGGAGATATCAAAATGTTCTTCCACTGTCACTTCTATATCCAAAGGTTCAGAAATCATTGTTTAAACCACTTCTGTATTCACTGGTTTAAACAATTTGTACATTATGTTGGCACTTATTACAATGTACTCTGACATTCATCACAATGGTTTCACTCGTTTGATGCAGTGTAATCAGTAATTGATTCTTGGTTAAGTCTTGTTTCAAATAGGAATACTTGCCAACAAGATTGGTGCTTTTTAATATTTTTGCATTTTTATGTTAAGATTATTGATTCTGAAATTTTATTAAAATTCTTTTAAAGTATGATATTAATGAGAACACTTACTGTAATATAATGTTTGATTAAAGCTTTCTCATTCATGCTTCCCTTATAATAGCATGGTGTTACCACCATTGCTATATCAGCTCCAACTGCAGCCATTCGTTCTGTCATTTTTACAGTTGTACGAGTTCCTACAGAATTAAATGCAATATGCTTTTTTGAATAAATTCTCAAAATTTCTAAATTTAATCAGACTTGTTTTAGATTTTCTGCTATGAAACATTCAATTTGTTAAGTTCAGTGTAACATGTGTGAGACATGTGTCAGGTGTGTGGATGTCGGCAGGTGGTGATGGACAGTTCACAGCTTGGTCACACATGTCGGGTGGGTGAGGTGACGGTGTCCCCGGGAGTGTGGGGGAGATTGTTCCAGCTAGTTAGGGGTGTGTAGAGTCAGAGAGAGTGTGTGTACTGACCAGGGAGCTAACAAAGTGAGAAGCTGTGTGGCTGGTCCAGTATTGTAACTATCAAAAAAAATGGTGGAGTGTCAGAGAGTCACTCGCTGATTTGGAGAAATTAAAGTGTTTTTATTTTTTGTGTTGTTATTGTTAGAAAGAAGCGTGTACTGTGTTCTTTTTGACTGTCTATACGAAAACATTCTACACCACCACCATCATCACAACATTTGTATACAACACAATTAAATAACAGACTATTAAAATTATATCAGAAAATGCAGCATATGTAAGAAATCATATTTTATCAATAATATAATAAGTAACTAATCGAAGTATCCCTATTTACCACCCCAGTATACAAATATAAAAATATAAAATATTTATGTTTGAACTTTTTTACTTTAGTATTTTAAATTACAGCAATATGAAAACAGATGTCTATCTACAAGTATTTGTACATATACAATATTTGTTTTTCCTAGTATGCTCACATAGCCATTATATAATAGAACAAATAGTATTAACCTATACTACAATTAAAGTACTTTAACTGTCTTATGGTGTTAAAAGCTATTATATACATCCAGACTGAAAATTTTTTAATTGTTAATCTAAACGTATATTCCAAAAATCTGACATCTTATTCTATTTATGTTCTAATGTTCTTATACCATTTTTGTTGTAATTGCCTGGTAATGATGATATATATATTATCAAAAGTACTGGTAATTATATCATTATAATCTTACAACTTTTTATTGTGTGTTTTTTTTATCATATAGAACAGTTAAGTGTTTTAATTAAATAAATACAATATAATAATGAATAGGAGGCTTATGCTAAAATAAAATTTACATCTGTGCATTTTAACTTTAAATAATAGAACATTCCTGAATGTACAAAAGATTGATAAAACAATTATAACTTTATCCTTTATATCTTTTTTGAAAATATAAAATAGTTTGAAATATATAAATATATATATATGAAATATATATATCCCCTATAAAATAGTTTCAAATATATATTATTATTATTTAAAAACAAAAATTATAGTAAAGGTTGGTAAAAGTGGTTGTATATTTTTGTTGCTTCTGAAAATTTGAAACTAAACAAATTTCTACTTTGCTCACAATTTAGAGTCATTCTTGCATCTGAAATTCCAATATAAATTTGGAAAACTTGTTAAAAATATTGTAAATACATTATTTTCAAAAATAAATCAATTCATTTAAAAAATCACAAGTTCTATGCTACTAATTGTTTAACATTTAGAATATGAAAATGCATTTCTTATACATCTTTATCAAATAATACTTTTTAATTTAGTTACTCTTATTGTTTTTATTTTAAAAGAATTTGTTAAGGAATAATAATATATACAAAACTGAGTATTTTTCTCATGAAAAATCTTAATTTATTTCAATTTAAATGTCAATTAAAGTGAAATTAAGATAAAATTTGTTAACATAAACTCAAAATACAGGTATACCTCGACTTACGTCATTTCGAGTTACGTCGTTCCCGATTATACGTCGTTTGTCAAAAAAGTATGTGAAAAAACAAAAATCAAGTATAAGTCATTATATTCGACTTTACGTCTGTCCGCCACAAATATTGAAGTCATAATATCACTAGAAAAGCGTTTAAAGCACATAAAATCACATTAAAATATATACATTTACAAGTATGTACTGTATTTACAGTACATGCATTCGTAAATTTAGATTACTGTTTTTGTACTATATTAAAAACAAAAATTTAATAAAATTGTTTGTAAGCTTAATAAATTAAATACAGAACCGGGAATGGTAATTTATGGTTTAGCCTAGTGACAAGTAGATTCGGAGACAAGTAAATTCGACTTACGTCGCTTTCCTGGAACCAATTACCGACGTAAGGCGAGGTATACCTGTACTTCATTTAATTACCTTCACATCCACTTCCAGCTATTAATAATTTATCTTTACTAATATGTTGTTTTACAAATTTTACAACATCTACTCTTTCATCTTCACTAAGAGAAGCAAATTCTCCATTTGATCCCTGTATAACTAAACCTAGAAAATAAAATTAAAGTATAAAAAGATAATTCTGTAATTATTTAAGATGTTTCTAATAAATATTAGTATTTTTACAAATTGTATATACCCCTAAAAGGAACTTTATTCCATTTCTCAATATTATTTTCTAAATGATTATATGCTATTTCTTCATTCTCGTCGAAAGGCGTTATAATCGGAGGATAAACACCAGAAATGTTAATTTTCTGCGTACAGTATCTTTTCTTGAATTTAAAATGATTAAAACAACGAATATTTATCCGTTTAATTAATATATTCATTTTAAAAATTTAATTGGAACAATTTAAATTTTTAAAATTTTGCATAATAACACTTCGAACAGATGCCACACAAATTATTTTGTTATCAAAAGCTAGTTCAAGGTACAATCACATGTCAAGGCAATCAAACCACGTGTGCAGCCATAACCTTGTTTCAGATCAGTGTTGCCATATATGCCGTTCACATGTTAGTAAATTTAATAATAATATAATACAGTTTTTCCGAAGCTTGTACTAATTATTAGTTATTTTTTAATGTGATTTTAAATATTTTAATTAAGATTTATATCTTGATGGATTGGTAAACTTTAGAGGTTAATTAAAGCATTACAACAAAGCAAAAGGCGAAAAAATAGTAAAATAGAACTCTGAAAGAAGTCATACAAGGTGAATTGTTGCAAGCGTTTTTAATTTTCAATTACTTTTTTATTGACTTTGACTTTGGTTTTTTTAGAATTAAAGAAAAATAATTACGTAGCCGAGGCGGGACTGGGTTTACTGAAGGAATGTTTAGATGGCACTTATGGCACTCCATTTCAATTAAGTTCCGTCTTTTCAAAATAATCAAATTATAATAAAAAGTTGTTGCTGTTTTGATATAAATTTAAATTTTCCGTAACACATTTCAATATAATTTAATCAAAACATAAAGTTAATGTTTAATTTCAACTGCATATTACAAATAAGGTTAAAAAAGGGAGATATTTCACGAAAGTAAGTCACAAGCTTCATTATCTTTTTGACACTACATTCAGTACTACTTTTTTTATTTGCTTACAAGAAATCTACACACACTTTTCTATTCCTAAATAATAATGGAATACTGAACACTCTGTCCTTATTTTAATATAGGTTATATTAATACATTGCAAAATATAATAGCAATACTATACAATCGGATGATCGAGAAGGTAAAAACAACAGCATTCTCTCTTCGGGACTCGAGTTCGGTCAGGATCCATTCAAATTTTCATGGACGTGTTAATACGAATTACTTTCTCATAATCCGCTTCCATTATGGGTGTAGTCGAATTCATGTGCTTCTTATGTCTGTAGACTTTTTAAAAACAATAATAAAAAACGTATTAACGTAGTCACAGAAACAAAGTTTGAATATGACGGATATTAGGTCTATATTGATTATAATTGCTACCGATAAAATCATTTATACGTAATTTTATAATATTGAATAAGCTATAAAAATTTGGAAAAATGGTAAATTCCCAATAGCTTTCCTTTTATATCAGTTTTGATTTTTTAAATGAAACAAACTTACGATTTATTTGCTTTTGTATGTATGTATATTTTGTGCGGTCCCGAACAGGTCCGAACCGTCACGAAAATCGCGAAAAATCAGTCAATTTAGAGAAAAATTTAATTGTTTAAAAGGCAAGGAAAAAATGGTTGTAGTCCAACACCTTTTGTTAATATCAAACTGCGACGCAGAAATCATAAATGGAGAAGGAATGTCGTCCCCTGATCGGTGAGATATCGAATTCAGCTTCGATTTTGACCTCTCTCGCGCTCTAGGTAAGGAGTCTCGTTACGTTTACTAACGAGGTACCAGCCACTCGAGAAGCGTGATTGAGGGAGAATGACGAATCAGAATGGACGAAAGAGAGAACGGAGATTGATATAATTCCCGACGATCAAGGACACCTCGCACTCGGTTAATTAACATTCCAGTTAACCAAGACGCCGTGTGTCAACGCGCAAAACGCAGTTTTTCGTCTATTGTGCCCAATCCGTAAACTGTACCACTACGGACTCAGACCGCGTTACCGATGCCAATTAACGGAATCTCTCCAACTTGCCACACGGACTGAACAACGCCATTTCGATCGTCGATCGGAAAACAACGACGCTCAGGACGTCCGCACAGCCGAATGTGTTAAAGCAAATTATTTTGTTTGTAGTGTAACTTATTTTATATCAAAATAAACGGTTTTTGTTAGACACTTGTCAGCTTTGTCTCCGCCGCCACCACTCACATACGAATAAACACTAGACCATCTCTGGACGTGCAATTGTTGCCCCTAAAAGTTGGCTTACTTACAATTTTATGTATATTTGTTTATGTATTTTTAAAAAATCTTTAATAAAAAATCTTAAACATCTACAAAATAAAAATAACAAAATAATATGAGCATATATAGGAATTATTTGATATTTTTTCTACGATACTTTTCTAAGAAAGTTTAAATGGAATTTGTTTACAGAATCACCAGTGCACTGTAATTCTCAGTTTTGTTTATTAGATAGAAATAGATGTGGACGAAGGCATCGTTATATTTTCAGAGTAAAAAAGTATAATTACAGCGCGTTTTGTGTTGAGACACCTATTCTCTCTGATGCGATTTGTCCGCCATATTACGAGGTTTGTGGTTATATTGTATTTAGAATGCTGACGAGTTTTGTGACTTTCGCCTGTAATAATAATTAAAGTCTGTGGTTACACATTTTACAACTAAATAAATGTTTTATATGTTATTTAATCTTTTTAATGAAAACAAAATATATTTATAGAGTTTTAGTAGCAATTAAATGATATCAACTTTATCCCAGTAAAAACATCATTTCATCATCACCAATGATATCAATTTATATCATTTCTGAAGTGATTTTTCGTTAGTTTCAAATGACCAAATGACATGCAATGACTTCAATTGATGAAATTATTATTTACAAGACTATTGTTTCAAACATTCAAACATCTCATATCAGTTATTGTATGAGATTAAATAATATCAATTTTAGGTTACCTTTGACATGAGATCACTTAATGTCAACTGATATCCTATAGTCAGACTTTAAAATTTAAAATTTTGAAAAATATTTTAAAACCATTTAATGGCAATGGTTCTCTTGAAAAACAGCAAATAATGGTAGATGACTTGTCATTTGTTTTCTTTTTTTGATAATTGACATCAATTCGTATCATTTAAAACATTTATCATTAGCAAATGATTTTTAATGGTAATTAATAGGGTAACACCAATGCTACAATGATATACCCTATCAAAAATAATATACAGAACAACACAAATTTTACAGAATATCTGTAGATATTTTGCAGAATTTATCTGAAGTAGCTATTTTAGTATGCGTGTTTCCGGAATTTGTTTAATTCACTGCAGCTAATGGATAGAATTTACTTGGATTATGTTCTTTATTAATTAACACGTCTGTAAATTTTTTACGGTTATCTCTAGATAATCTGTAAATATAATAATGATTTTTAAAAGAGTTTCTCAGTGTTTCATATAATTATAACAATTAATTATAATTAAGAAAAAGTAAATAGTTATCATTAATCATGAGTATATTATTTNATTTTGTAGATATTTTGCAGAATTTATCTGAAGTAGCTATTTCAGTATGCGTGTTTCCGGAATTTGTTTAATTCACTGCAGTTAATGAATAGAATTTACTTGGATTATGTTCTTTATTAATTAACACGTCTGTAAATTTTTTTACGGTTATCTCTAGATAATCTGTAAATATAATAATGATTTTTTAAAGAGTTTCTCAGTGTTTCATATAATTACAACAATTAATTATAATTAAGAAAAAGTACAGGTAGGCCTCCTACAACGCGGTAGATACGTTCCTTGAAAATACCGCGTTGTGGGAAATCGCGTTATAGGAGACACCAACTTAATACAAAAACTGAGATTCAGTTCTAAAAAGAGAAAAACTTGGCGTTTGAATGGCTTTTTTTGAATTTTTCAAATTAGCCATTGCTAGCCACGAATTTAACACTGGTTTCATCAGCCGACGACTGTCCCATTTGTTTTAAATAATCAAATATTTTTAAGGCTTTGTGTTTAACTTTTATTTAAAGGCAACCGTTTCTTGTTCATATCTTCTACCCATAATATTAGCACTTGTTCCATTTTTTTTTTTTTTTTATAGGTGCTCTCGGACGAGCAACATTTTTCGCAAGAATAGATGATCCGGATGTGACCAAATTTCTTATCTTTTCTCCCGATTGCTTAATCAACCAAATAGTCGACTCATTTAAATTAAAATGCCTATCAATATTAGCTATTCGCTCTTGATTTTTAATTCGATCCAAAATTTCTATCTTTGTTTGAAGAGTTATAAATTTCCTTTTTAATGACAGTCCTTTCTTTTCATTCGGCATTGTTATGGCTAAAATTTTTTCAATCAGTTTTGTGGACAGTAAAAATCACAAAAAATAACTTCCTTTCACTATGTTGTTAAAAATATACACACAATAGAAGTTTATACTGTATTTTAGACCATTTTTGCGGTCCCCACTTATTGAAATGATCGAAAATTTAGTGATATATTTGAGTGTTTATGGTAACTGATGCACATCTGTCTAGAAACCGGTCTTCCCCTGAAACTTTCAAGGGAATAACACGCCAACGTCGACAAACAGCTGTTTTCAAAGACTTTTAGCTCTGTATACCGAACTGCGGCTCGTATCACGTGATCCGTTGCGATTTTTCTGTTATGTGAAGATAATTCGTTTCTAATTACCGTAAACCGCGTTGTAAAAGTACCGCGTTGTAAGAAAATTTCCGCATTTTTCCAACCGCGTTGGAGCGAAAACGCGTTGTAAAGGTATCGCGTTGTAGGAGGCCTACCTGTAATTAGTTATCATTAATCATGAGTATATTATTTATACTTTATTATTTTATATTAATAATTTAGAAATTCTTGAAGAAAACAAGTTTGAAAATCGTTTCAATCATATCTCACGATATCCATCTACACATTATTTCCAATTACGCTGTTCAGATTATGTCGGATTGTGGCTTCCGGAGATATATTAATTAAGAATCATAATCACATGTTGATATTGCTGCGGAGACTTCCAGCTATTAAACTCGTTGAATCTATGGCGATTCTGAAATTGAGAGTCATAACAATATTAATATACAGGGTGTGACGTAAAGAGTGGATAATTTATTACCTGCGGATAGGGGACATCATGACTGTTCAGAAAATTAAACATTGTGTTTAGTAAAAGTATCATAGTTTTTGAGTCATTGGACATTTTCTATTTTTTTGGAAAATGGACTTCCTCGTTCACATTTTTCAATGTCATGGTCACAAATCAANTGTTCAGATTATGTCGGATTGTGGCTTCCGGAGATATATTA